GACTTACGAATAGTTTCTTACCCTCCGAGCAGGATCACTGCTCTCGCGACTCCACTCTGGACGGCCAATGAAGGCAAGCCAGAGGTGGGAGACCTGTTCCTTGTCATCGTTCACTCCAGCCAGCCAATTAAGGCAAGCCGGAGAAGAAGGAACGGTGACTTCTCCCTGGAGTTATTATTATTATTATTATATTTCGAAAAATCGTGAAAGGTTTTTACTATTTACATCGCTTTTTCTCTCATTCTTGCTTGGCTACTCATTTTATACCTATACTGAAATATCTATTCATTTTGTATTCATAAGATACCTAATACCTATATTACGATTTAAGTAAGTATTTTTATATTAACATAATATCACGCCTTTTATCCACGAAGGGGTAGGCAGAGGTGCACATTACGTTACTTAATACCACTGTACATATATACAGATATATACTATACACTTTTCACTATTTATGCTATGAGTCCCATGTAATAGAGGGTGGGCATTAGCACAAATACTACTACTGAGAATTAAAAAAATCCAGTAATACTTTGCCCGACTCGGGAATCGAACTCGAGACCCTTGCCCAGCAGTCACACTTGCACTCGGCGAACGATGCAGTAAGTATTTTTTAATATTAGAGGTAGGTACAATAATAATAAAAAAATAAGGGTGACTATTATTTTCTTCAATGGCGTGCTAATGGCTGGGTTTACTAACCAGAGCGTGTCGGCTATAACGTCGTATGTGGAGATACTTCCGGAACATAGTTCGAACTCAAGTGGCATGGTGCATTAGGTGCACAGCTTCCTTATATCTGAGATTACGTTTTATAGCACTAATAGCGAACTCAGAAGTTAGGGTTTCAGCTTTTATTGTTCGGAGCTGTTAGCGTTTTGTTATCGCAGTTTCAACTATCAAAGCTTAGTGGTTTCATAACTTTTCGGTGTTCCGATGCCGTTCCTGTGCCGGTTAAATCAATTAATCAGAAAAATGTAGTACAAGATTAACAGATGTAAGAAGAAAGAATGAAATGTTTCGG